ACATATATATATATATATATATATATATATATATATATACATATACACACCTTGCTACGTGTACTGCACTAGGCTAACCGAGACTTGTCATTTGCACTTATATATTGATGCTCTGTTAGTTTTGACTGTTTTTATTGTCCTCATTTGTAAGTCGCTTAGGATAAAAGCGTCTGCTAAATGACTAAATGTAATGTAATTTAATTTTCGCCGCAAGAGGGCGCGTATTCAAAATAAACAAAGAGACAAAGGCATAGTTTGATGACACCGTGACTGAGTGTGGAATCATGGGAGTTGTTGTCTTCATCCCCACAGCCGATGCAATCCGACAGGACTCAGGCAGAAATCATGTTCATGGATGAGCTAATGATTTATTAACATAGTAGAATGAAGCAGGGTGAGGCTGAAAGCTGTCGAAGCGAAACGAGGCTGCTGAACGAGCGTGACACACAGCTCGAAAGCAGCGGAGCTTTTATTATGCCACAGTCGACCGCTTCCGCTCCTTCCAGTCGTGCGTATGTGGGGAAAAAAAGCAGCACTGTTTTATCATACTAGATATTAGGACTGCGTAAAAAAAACATAGATATCTCGATATTAATCGATTATCATTTTTATGGAACGATATCGATTCTTAAATCCCAAAACGGGCGTTTCGCTAAACATAGGCACCATATAACATACTCATTATAAATTTGACTGTTCTTCAATGTTTAATTTATGTTTGAATAAATCCATCAAGTTTTATGACAGCCACCATTATGTTTATATTTCAAAAAAACAAATTGAAGTAGAAATATTATGTAATTATAACTTTATTATGTTAAAAACTTTTATTAAGTATAATTTTAACAAATCAGTCAATTTTAACATTCAATATTATAGTAATGTAGTACCAACTGACTCTCATGTAGGCTATATTTTACAGCATTAGTTGAGATTTTTTCCTTGAGAAAATTTGGCATGTACTGTACATGACATGTATCCAAATTAATCGATATTGAATCGAATCGAATCGCAAGCTTGTGAATGAGAATCGAATCGAATCGTGAAATTTGTGTCAAAACCCAGCCCTACTAGATACATTTGAACGTTCTGTTATAATGCTACTCTGTGCGGTCGTCACCAGTCTATTAAAACGCACAACATGTTAAAGCGTCTTTGGTGTTTCCATGTTTCCTACAAAACAAAACCGGAAATCAATAAAAAAAACATAGATATCTCGATATTAATCGATTATCATTTTTACGGAACGATATCGTTTCTTAAATCCCAAAAGGGGCGTTTCGCTAAACATATGCACCATATAACATACTCATTATAAATTTGACTGTTCTTCAATGTTTAATTTATGTTTGAATAAATCCATCAAGTTTTATGACAGCCACCATTATGTTTATATTTCAAAAAAACAAATTGAAGTAGAAATATTATGTAATTATAACTTTATTATGTTAAAAACTTTTATTAAGTATAATTTTAACAAATTAGTCAATTTTAACATTCAATATTATAGTAATGTAGTACCAACTGACTCTCATGTAGGCTATATTTTACAGCATTAGTTGAGAGATTTTTTCCTTGAGAAAATTTGGCATGTACTGTACATGACATGTATCCAAATTAATCGATATTGAATCGAATCGAATCGCAAGCTTGTGAATGAGAATCGAATCGAATCGTGAAATTTGTGTCAAAACCCAGCCCTACTAGATACATTTGAACGTTCTGTTATAATGCTACTCTGTGCGGTCGTCACCAGTCTATTAAAACGCACAACATGTTAAAGCGTCTTTGGTGTTTCCATGTTTCCTACAAAACAAAACAAAATCAAGGAAAATCAAGGGGTTATGACGTCATTGGCAGGCGACACAATGACACTATAGACACGGTCCGTGTCACTAGATAAAATTACTTATTTCTCTGGATTTAAACATTCTTCGAAACATTTGGGATAATGTAAGTACACAAGTCAGCAAAATATATAACACTGTTCTAATGGTTTTTGGATATTTTAATAAAAACAATCTTACACATTGTGCCTTTAAACTTAAAAAAATTAAAATTTGAATAATTAAAATGAGATAAACTTAGGTTTAAGTTGAAGTACTAAAATTACTAAAACTGAAATAAAAATAAATTAAAAGCTAAACAAATTTATATTATAAAAATAAATAAAAATGACAAAAGTACGTAAAAGATACAACATTTTAAACTAAAATTAAAATGAAAACTGGAAATTTAAAAATAAAAGCTTCTTCAAAATATCAATAAACACAATAATATAGTAAAAAAAATAGTATAAATATTACTTAATACATTCATACGCAATGAAAGGACATGAAGACATTTACTTATTTATATTTGAAATATATAAAATATAAATATTAAAAGGAAAGACTAAACTTAAAATAAAAAAATTAAATAAAACAATAGAAATAGAAATGTTGCCTTGGCAATCAACTTAAATAAAATAAGTTTAAGAGTAAGTACTAAAATTGCTAAAACTAAATCTGAAAAAAAGCTAAACAGAATTATTTTTAAAAAAAAATAAGCTGCATAAAACACAAAAAATTAAACCAATTAAAACGAAAACGGGAAATTTAAAAATAAAATGTAGTTCAAAATCGTTTGGCACTTACAAATGAGGAACATTACATGCATGAAAAGACTTTTTAAAAGACATTTTCTATTTTATTTTGGGGGCTTTTGCAA